GGCGACCTCGGCCCGAGCCGAGGGGTCGCGGTGATGCCCGCCCCGCTTTCCGCGGGCTGCCGAGCGGCGCCCCACCCGCCCCCACCCTGCCCGGGAGCCGATGCCCCGGCTGCGCGGGTTTGGAGCCCTCGGCATCTCCCGACCGCTCCCGCGAACCCCCGGCGCGAGCCTGGCGGGTAACCCCGGCTGGCCTCTGCAGCCCCCGGGCCCGGCCACCGCACACATTTGCACCGGCGGTTTCCGCTGTGTGCGGGCCGTGGAGACCTGAGTGCTCCAAACGGGGAAACGCAACGAAGAAAAACGCAGGCAGAGCGCGGACGCTGAAATTCGGCTGAGCTATTGAGAAGGCGACAGTCTGTGGAAGGGTTTATCAGATGTCTGCGCTGCGCGCATACCTTCCTGTCAGCCTCAATAGTGGCGTTTTTTTAAGGTCAAAGAATAAGCAGAGGGCAGGGATTTGGGGCCGACCCGGGTTGCGCGGTGGTGCGCTTTGCAGGACTGGCTGGCTGAAGCGGGTGGTTCGGTAGGTGGCATCCTTCCCCTGGAGTCAGGACTGCAGGCACTGCAGTGGGTTAGTGAGCAAGGACACCACTCCAGGAGGTTAGGTTGTCAGGGGCGTGGGTTTATTCCTGCCGTGGGAAGGAAAAATCCAGGTCCCCGCGGGTTGGGCTGTTCCTAGGATCGCTGGCAGAAGAACAGGGCCCTGGCAGGCGGTGATTCAATCCCCGCGCGTTCGCACCATCGGCCCGGCACCCCGGAATTGTTTATTGTGGAAATGGGGAGAAAATGTTCCAGCCCATGTTAAGGCTCCTCCACTCACCTCGTTTAGGCTTACGTAGGCTTCATAAATCTTACGTATGATTTATGAATCATGTATACACACACAGTTTTTCCATGTGTGACTTTGATTTGCATGGAAACCCTTTTTGCCACTGAGACCCGCGTGCAGCGACAGGACTTTGTACCCACCATAGAGTTTACCCTGAATGTTACCTTGCTTTGCAGTCCCTTTCATTGTTGAAATCATCCATTCATAACCTGTTAATCTCTTTTAGTTCCTATTATGTATGGACACATCCAATTTTCCTTTTTCTTGCTTCATTTATTATGGTAACACCTGCTAATGTTTCACGTAATTTACTTAATATGTTTAGTGTTTATTATCTGTATGCCAGAGAAACACAAGCTTCCAGAGAGGGGAATCTTCTGCCTTTTTTTGTTTTTGTTCATTATTGTATCCCAAGCACCTAAAGCAGCATCTGCCACAATAATGGTCAGTTGCACAAACTAAGGAGACAAGCAGAGGATATGAGATAGATCCAGAAGGGCCAAGCTAATGCTGGTTGTCTCAGAGTGCCTTTGTATTATAAGGTGTTTCTTTTTGTGATAAATACCTCATGCTCCAGATTGAAGTATTAATATTCCTGCATATTTGGAAAACTCACATTCACGTCTTAATTTTTAGGTGCTTTTATTTCAAAATGCGTTAGTGTTGGTTTGCATGGAAAAACCGTCCCACCCCTCCTTCATAAGGAGTTTTGAGGAGGTCTCACTTCCTGAAGAAAATTGAGTTGGCTCAGAGATCTATTCTCACCAGAGTAAAGTTGTAAGAATGTAAATCTGATCACGTCATTCCCCTGTGTAAGCCCTTCTTTACAAGTATTTCAAGTTGCTTGAAATGTTTATAGGATATGTTTCAAATGCCTTAGTGTGAGATGCAAAACTGCCTGTGAACTGACGGCCTTCCCTCAACTTGTTTCTCGTATCATCCCTTGCTCCGCCCTATCCTCTGTCACACTGAACTTTTTGTACTTCCAAAAGTTCACCTTGACTCTTCACACCTTTGAGACTTTGGACCTGCTGTTCACGTTGCCTGGGAATTTTCCTTCTGTCTTTCCAGACCCCTATTAACTTTACTCTTAGGTTATCTCTTACCAGGTGCCTAGTAAATGCCCAGTAAATACCTGTGGAGGAAATCTTCAAGACTTGAATCAATAATTAGCTCAGGAAAATCTTTCTGACTTTATTTGCCCTTACCTAGCTACCTCCACTCATCAACCACACTCACAGGGCTAAGTGTGTCTTCTATAGTAGTAACAGACAACATTTATTGAGTCCGTCCTTAATGCCAGACACTGTTTTAAGCATTTTACATATATTCACTTACTTCTATCTTTGTAACAGTCCTATCACTTAGATTCCTTTACTACTATTCCATTTTATTGATGAAAAAACTAAGCCACAAGGATATTAAATAATGTGCCCAAACTGCTGGCAAGTAGTCATGCCAGGTTGGGATCCTGGAAGTCTGCTCCAGAACCCGTGTTCTAACCTCTTGGCCAGGTGACTTTCTTCAAAACTACCTGTTTCCTTCTCTTTGTAACATGCATTATTCTATCACCCGTTGCTTTACTTGTCTTGAAGCAAAAGATCTTATTTTATTTGTCTGTCTTCTCTATGCCAGCCACACAAGTATGTTCTCAATGCTTTTTTCAATTCCTTATAGTTGAAAGAACGAGCGCAACATTAGAAACAATCATCTTCCCCCCCATTATTATGCTGTACAATTTAAGGAAGATGCTCCAGTGGTGAAGAAAAAATCTTGGACTAGTCTTTAGACAGTGGAATTATTCTCAGTGCACTGGGAATGTTACGTTACAGAAAACAGTAGTTCCAGAAGACAAAAGTGATGGTAAGAGTTGAAGACGTGTGATGACCAATGTCTGCCAGAAGCAGGATGCGTGCAGAATATTTTCAAAAAACCTTAAAGCTCAGCGCTAAGCATAGCAACAGTCACCAGCTGGAAAACACCAGTAGCAGACCTTTAGCAGAAACTCATCTAAGAATGAAACCAAAATGTTTTGCCAACCAGTACACTGAAAAACAGTGAAGAAATTTGACTATAAAAGGAGATGTCCAGGCAGCTAATTTGTTCAATGTATATTTATGTGCAGGAACAAAAATATACATTGTTCCAGGTACCTGGGGTACAAAATATATACCATGCCGGGTACTTGGGGTACAAGCAAAATGAGTCCCCAAGAATAGCCCTTGTAAACCCTCAGATGCAAGCAAGAATCACTTACAGTGCTCTCCAAATACCCTAGATTAGAGGTTGCAAGCCAGTGGCCAGCTGGGTGAATTTAGGCATGTTTTTCCAACATACACAGATTGAGCTCAAATTCTCCAAGGAACCAATCAACTGAAACTGAGTCATAGCCGTGTTATTTCCACTGTATGTGTGTAATTAATTAATTAATTTTATTTCAATAGATGTAGGGAGTACAAGTGGCTTTTTTGTCACAGGTATGAATTTTATAGTGGTGAAGTCAAGGCTTCTACTGTACTCATCACGCAAATAGTGTCTATTATCCCCCTCCTTCTACCTTCTCACCTTCGGACATTCCGTGGTCCATTTTACCACTCCCTGTGGCCATGTATACCTGTCATTTAGCAACTACTTATAAGTGAGTACATACGGTTTTTGCTTTTCCATTCCTGAGATATTTCACTTAGGATAATGGCCTCCAATTTCAGGCAGGTTGCTGCAAAAGAGATTCCATTATTTTAGTGGCTAAGTACTATTCCACGATGTGTGTGTATCACATTTTCTTTATCCATTCATAGTTGCTGACTACTTAGGTTGATTCTGTACCTCTGAAACTGAATTTTGCTGTGATAAACATATGAGTGTAAGTGTCTTTTTGATGTAATGACTTCTTTTCCTATGGGTAGATATCTGGTAGTGGGACTGCTGGATTCAATGGTTGATCTACTTTTAGTTCTATGAGGAATCTCCATACTGTTTTCCATTGAGGTTGTAGCGATTTACATTTGCACCAACAGTGCACAAGCATTACCTTTTCAACACATCCACTCCAAAATATATTGATTTTTTGTTTTTGAATTTTTAATAGTGGGTATTTTAGCAGGATTAAGGTGGTATCTCACTGTGGTTTAATTTGCATTTCCCGATAATTAGTGATGTTGAACATTTTCATGTATTTGTCAGCCATTTGTATATCTTCTTTTGAAAAATGCCTGTTCATGTCTTCTGCTCACATTTTATTGGGTTTTTTTTTGTTTGTTTGTTTCTTGCTGAGTTGTTTGAGTTCCTTGTAGACTGTGGTTATTAGTCCTTTGTCAGATGTATAGTTGGTTAAATATTTTCTCCCATTCTGTTCTCTCTTTACTCTGTTGATTATTTCCTTTACTCTGAAGAACATTTTCAGTTTAATTGAATTTCATTTATTTATTTTTGTTTTATTGTATTTGGTGCTGGGGTCTTAGTCATACATTCTTTGCCTAGGCTAATGTCCAGAAGAAGAGTTTTTCTTAAATTTTCTGTTAGAATTTTTATGGTGTCAGATCTTATACTTAAGCCTTAATCCATTTTAAATTAATCTTGGTGTGTAATGAGAAATAGGGATCCAGTTTCCTTCTTCTGCA